AGACACTATAGGACGAGAATACTACCATAATACTACCCATCATTGCTTGCCGGAAACGGCCTTAAACGGCGTCGTTTACGTTCCGGCGAAAAACGGCCCTCAATCCGAGCTGACGGAAAACGCTCAAAAAACGGTGAAAAACGGCGATCGTTTTTCATCGTTTAGGGCATTAATTACGCCGTTTTTTCACCGTTTTAGGCCTTTTAAGACGTCGTTTCAGACTGCCTGAATGATGGACCTGGGAAAAGAAAAGAAAAAACAATAAATTAAATACTTTTCCTTGAATGGAATGGGTAAATCGGTCAAAGATCAAACTCAAAATATGATAAAACCCATATTTTCAAGTTCATCTCGCATCGAAATGTCTCATCAAAATGAACCTTGATGTCAGCATGGTTTTAATTTACGTCTCTGGTTAAATAGTGAAAAGAACTTAACAAGAAATACATGTCTTTGCCCGTCTAGTTTTTATGGTAATATGTATGAATATCAAAATCAACGAATGAGTTTGACCATTATATTTCGAACATTATAAGATTCTTGGACAACATTATTTGCAATAATTATTTCACTTATCGATGGTAGTGAAGAACGAATTATTTATTCATATGAACAATTCACTTATTTGCCAATAAGAGATTGTAAAATCAAATTTTATATATATTTGCTCTACTCAAATCGACCAAAAAATGAAACTAAAAATTATGCAATACATATTGATATTGATATTTATGAAAAAAGTTCATTGACATATCGAGGAAGTTTATTTTATCCAATAAAATTTCCATTTTTACCTGTTTATCGTATCGCATAGATAGCAAACATTCCGCGAACTAATGAAAACATTCTGAGTTGTTCAAATTCTCAATATATTGATGGAAAATGTGTCTAATATTCAAATACATCTACAAAATTGTAGTTTTTGTCAATGTAATCGAGAATGGTCTGGTCGATATTGCACTATTGAAAATACTTGTATGTGTTCATCTGATTCAATATGTATTGATGTCTCAGCTTACAATCGATCTGTATGTGTTTGTCCTATTGATAAATTTGGTGATCGATGTCTTCTTATCGATACAATATGTGAAATGGATAAGAATTTAACATGTCAACATGATGAACAATGTATTCCTTCTGATGAATATATGATATCGAATCAAAAATTTGTATGTATTTGTCCAAAAGGCTATATTGGTGATTGATGTGAAATAGTTGATAATAAAATAATTCTATCATTTGGAAAGAATATTGTTTTATCACAATCGATACTTATTCATTTCATTGAAGTTATTAATATTGATATACCAATGAGAACAC